AAAAAAAAAAAAAAAAAAAAAAAAAAAAAAAAAAAAAAAAAAAAAAAAAAAAAAAAAAAAAAAAATTTTGTTTGTTTGCAGTTGCAAAGGAGTGCGGCGCTACAGACGAAGTGGAGATGATACAAAGACTCAAAGGTAATTAAAAAAAAAAAAAATAAAAAAAATAAAATAAAAAATAAAAAATAAATAAATAAATAAATATAAAACTAAATAAATATATTTATATAAATAAATAAATATAAATGTATATATATTATTTATTTGTTTAGTTTTAAAAATATATATTATATAACACAAATTAACTAAAATAAATAAAAAGAAATAAACAAATAAAATAAATAAAATATTTATTTTATTTAATATATTTATTTATTTAATAAAATAAATAAAATAAATAAATAAATAAATAAAGTTTATAAATATAATTTTTTTTATAACAACATGATAATACTTATATAACTACAATTAAAATTTTTATTTTTATTTTTATTTTTAATTTATTTGATTTATTCCACCTATTTAATATATTTAATTTATTTATTTATTTACATTATTTTTTTAGTTTATTTATTTACTTTATTTATTTAATTTATTTATTTTATATATTTTATATATTTTATTTATTTTATTTATTTTATTTGTTTTATTTGTTTTATTTAATTTATTTAATTTATTTAATATTTTTTTTTATTTATAAACGCAGAGATGGAGGCAGCGAGCAAAGAAGAAGAAGAAACAGAAACAGCAGCAGAAGCAACAGAAACAGAAACAGAAAAAAAAGAAGCAGCAGCAGCAGCAGCAGCAGCTAAAGAAGACGATGATGATGATGACGATGATAAATAAATTAAAAAATATAAATAAATAAATATAAATAAATATAAATAAATAAAAATAAATAAAAATATAAATAAATAACAGAAACAGAAACAGAAAAAAAAGAAGCAGCAGCAGCAGCAGCAGCAGCAAAAGAGGACGATGACGATGATGATGATAAATAAATAAATATAAATTAAAAATAAATAAAGATAAATAAAAATATAAATAAATTAATTAATATAAATAAATAAATAAAAATAATTAAATAAATAACAGAAGCAGAAACAGAAACAGAAAAAAAAGAAGCAGCAGCAGCAGCAGCAGCAGCAAAAGAAGACGATGATGATGATGATGATGATAAATGAATTAAAAAATATAAACAAATAAATAAATATAAATAAATAAATTAAAAAAAATAAACAAACAACAGAAACAGAAACAGAAAAAAAAGAAGCAGCAGCAGCAGCAGCAGCAGCAGCAGCTAAAGAAGAAGACGACGACGATGATAAATAAATAAATAAATAAAATAAAAAATGAAT